ATTGATAACCTTTAAATGTCAGTTACACACACTGTTTGAGTTTTATACAAGCAATGTACAATAAATGTACAATGGCACGCGTTCACTTATCGCAATTTAGCAACTTATAACTGGTGAACTTGACATGAAAGTATTTTAACTTTTACGAGATTTTTGCTGTAAATAGTAAATAATGTCAACATACACTGAGGAGCAAATTTCTGCAATTAGGCAAAATGTAAAAATACAGGCCACAATTGAATAGAATTATCATAATGCAATAATACCTAGGCTGTTGAGTGCTACGGGCGATAATACCCGACGCCTTAGCGGAGGGCGAGCCCAGCACAATAACTAAGCCAAGGTATTATTTTTATTAGACAACTCTGTCCACTACGACTTTACGGGAAAATAATTCCCGGAAAATATTATAAACGACACTAGCGCACCACAAACATCTAGAAAACCACATATCTTTCAGTACGGAGAAAACTTTACGGTTAATTTGCGATAGTGTAACTGTAAGTGTAAACGCGATAGCTAGCGCTGGATAGCGCTAGATGGCGCGATCGCCATCTATATTAAGCTCATGATCGATATCATGTTCCATGTGGAAGCTATGTATATTTAATTGGATGTAACTTGATTATTACATCATATTCATTGTTCACAGTACCATTGTGATCTTATCGTGTCTCGATTTTACCAGATTAGAGTGGGTCAAAGTGAAGTTATAAATATAATGTGCCATTATATTTATAAGGCACCAGCACGCTATCCTATAGCTCACTTGAGTGACTCATTTAAACGTTTCTAGTGATTAATTTATACCATCTGCCAATATAACTGATTGATGCTGATTAATAAGTAGGGGGTTTCTCTCAGAATTTCACAGCTATTGGCATTTTAAGGTCACGAATTCCAGGTATAATTTACATAATACAGGGGGGATCAAAAGTCAGTACCCAATACCCATACGTTGGGTCTTATACCACCGCCGTGTTTTAAATTTGAGAGTTGTTGCTTTGCAGATGGCATACTGTACCTACTTGTTCAAGGATTCCGTCACCAAAATTTGAAAATTCGATTTTTGGGGGCCACACCCAATCAACATTAAATTGCTTATACTGGTGTTTGTGAACATGTTAGAGAATCCATTGTAAAATATTGCAATAGGTCATTTAATCCGGAATATAATCTGAAAAGATGGTGCGAAACGGATTTAAAATGACGAAGTTATCTAGAAATTTGTTTATCTCGTTAGCAAAATTGATTGGGTACTCAATGATTACCCAATTACGACATCGTAATTGGGCTCTCTGCACGATTCCCGTAATGTGGATCTAGTCTCAACCCAATCACCTGATCACACGTAATGAACAAACTCGTTATGCTTCATATCTCGGTCATCTGAGAAGCTAAAACTCTCATTTTTTCAGGACAAACGCAATTCAAATGGCCAAACAGCATTCAATAAAATTTGGCTCGATCTGACTATCCAAACTATCTAATAAATGCGAAAATGAACCTTCATTTGAAGAAAATGAACACGAATATTTTTCAATTTGACAAATTCCTCGAACCAATGGTGCTAGTAAGTCATACCAGAAAGAATTATTTCAATTGGGCACTCAGTGATTGAGCTATTAAAAGGCCAGCGTATGGGTACTGACTTTTGCCCCCCCCCCCCTGTATTTTTACCTAACATATTATATAGATAAACATATATATATATATTTCGTTGCTGTACTCCTACACATTAAAAGTCGGTGTTGATATATATATATATCTAACACTGATGATTGCGTTTGCATGTAACTTTAAGTTTTTAGAACCGCTGTTTTATTTATATAATTATATGTAAACATATAATTATATATTATTGCATGATTGATTTTTATTTTGTCTGAGGGGCTTTCCATAAATTATTTTTTTTAATAATTGGTCCTTTTGTTGATGTTTCATATTTCACGGCAGTTTCCTTTTCAGAGTTTGAGTTTATATTTAAACTAACCATACTATCTTTTAGATTTATGTCACTTATGATGGCTCCGGCTGAAAGTACTATGACTCATTTTATCTAGAAGATTGTAGTTTCATTGCTTCTGAAGTAGCTATCAGTTCGCCGGTCAATGTTGGGTATAATACTCTTGTAAACATATATATAATATGTAAATATATATGTGAATTACCAGTCTTAGATCTTTAGATAATCGAGTTTAGCCTTCCCCGGTAGGGTAGAACACGAATATTTTTCAATTTGACAAATTCCTCGAACCAATGGTGCTAGTAAGTCATACCAGAAAGAATTATTTCAATTGGGCACTCAGTGATTGAGCTATTAAAAGGCCAGCGTATGGGTACTGACTTTTGCCCCCCCCCCCCCTGTATTTTTACCTAACATATTATATAGATAAACATATATATATATATTTCGTTGCTGTACTCCTACACATTAAAAGTCGGTGTTGATATATATATATCTAACACTGATGATTGCGTTTGCATGTAACTTTAAGTTTTTAGAACCGCTGTTTTATTTATATAATTATATGTAAACATAAATAAATAAATAAATAAATAAATAAATAAAGTCAATTTTTACAGCACAGCAATATATATATATATATATAATTATATATTATTGCATGATTGATTTTTATTTTGTCTGAGGGGCTTTCCATAAATTATTTTTTCAAAATAATTGGTCCTTTTGTTGATGTTTCATATTTCACGGCAGTTTCCTTTTCAGAGTTTGAGTTTATATTTAGAAACTAACCATACTATCTTTTAGATTTATGTCACTTATGATGGCTCCGGCTGAAAGTACTATGACTCATTTTATCTAGAAGAATGTAGTTTCATTGCTTCTGAAGTAGCTATCAGTTCGCCGGTCAATGTTGGGTATAATACTCTTGTAAACATATATATAATATGTAAATATATATGTGAATTACCAGTCTTAGATCTTTAGATAATCGAGTTTAGCCTTCCCCGGTAGGGTAGGGCTAAATATAAAAATCAGCACTTTTTAAAAGCTTGTTTATTCCTGATGTAACCAAAACGAAAAGCTTTTCAAATAAACACTGAAATTTAGTTTTGTACGGTCCTTGAATTTTTAGTGAAATGGAGCAGCAAAATGTACCAGACTTTAAAGATGAGATGAAGATGGAAGAAGAAAGTATTCCACTGGAATTGATCAAAACAGAGATTAAGAAGGAGGAAGATAATTTTCTTATCAAATCAGAAGTGAATTCAAATGCAGATTCTCAGTTGGATTGTCCCAACAGGGAATCAGCATTGCTTCGCTACCAGTGGGTTCAACCCAATGAAAATGCTTATATTCGTTCTGAATGTTCCTACAATGCAAGCAAAAAAACAGCTTTAGTTTCACATCAGCGGACTCGTACCGGTGAAAAACCGTATAAATGCTCTGAATGTTCCTACAGTTCAAGCAAAAAGCCAAACCTAGTTTGCCATCAGCAGACTCATACCGGTGAAAAACCGTATAAATGCTCTGAATGTTCCTACAGTTCAAGCCATAAATCAAACCTAGTTCGCCATCAGATGACTCATACCGGTGAAAAACCATATAAATGCTCTAAATGTTCCTACGGTTCAAGACAAAAATCAAACCTAGTTAACCATCAGATGACTCATATAACCGGTGAAAAACCGTATACATGCTCCGAGTGTTCTTACAGTTCAAGCCGAAAATCAAACCTATTTTACCATCAAATGACTCATACCGGTGAAAAACCGCATAAATGCTCCGACTGTTCCTACAGTTCAAGTCGAAAATCAGACCTAGTTTCACATCCGTGGACTCATACCAGTGAAAAACCGTATAAATGCTCCGAATGTTCCTACAGTTCAAGCCGAAAATCAAACCTACTTAACCATCAAACGACTCATACCGGTGAAAAACCGTATAAATGCTCCGAATGTTCTTACAGTTCAAACCGAAAACCAAACCTACTTAACCATCAAACGACTCATACCGGTGAAAAACCGTATAAATGCTCCGAATGTTCCTACAGTTCAAGCCGAAAACCAAACCTACTTAACCATCAAACGACTCATACCGGTGAAAAACCGTATAAATGCTCCGAATGTTCTTACAGTTCAAACCGAAAACCAAACCTAGTTTGCCATCAGTGGACTCATACCGGTGAAAAACCGTATAAATGCTCCGAATGTTCTTACGGTTCAAACCGAAAACCAAACCTAGTTTGCCATCAGATGACTCATACTGGCGAGAAACCGTATCAGCGGAATAACTCACTTTTTTTTCATGAAAGCAGTCAGGCTTCGAATTTCTTTCAAGAAGGTAGTGTTGGAGGACCCATTTTTGTGAAGCCTCTACTTTTCGTGAAGCCTCTCACATTTGTAAAGCCTCTGAACTTCGCTGACCCCTTTCTTTTTTTTAGCTTACTTCCCAGTTCCTTCTCCGGTTACCAACCAGAACCTCAAATGTCTCACCCTGCTCCTCTCACCTTCTCACCTGATGAATCTGTTTTCACACCTGCTCTCACTGTCCCACCTACCCACTCTACAACATTTCCTTCCTCCTTTCATATTTCTTGCCAGTACAGCGACCATGGGGCGTAAATCGAAATGTATGTGTATCCTGGTACGAAAGAAGTGGAGGAGCTCAATAAAGAACACCGAGCCATGCAACTCTTTCAATTCCCTGGGCTCTGACCATCGGGCAGTACTCTCAACTGTAAAGCTCAGTCTTCGAAAGAGCATAAGTCCACCACGGGTCACACGTTACGACTTTAGTCGCCTTAAAACTGATCAGGAGTTGCAGATCAAGTATGGAGTCGAAGTTAAAAATAAGTATAGTGCACTCTTGAGTGAGGAACAACTAGATCTAGGTCCAACTATAAATGACGTCACCACTAAGTATGGAAAGTTTATTGAAGCAGTGAAATAGGAAGCATCTTCCTAAGAAGCGGTATGAAGATTCTGCCAACGACCCAAGAGCAGAGGAAGCCAGAAGCAAATTGTTTGCTGCCATGGAAGACATCTTAAGGATCAATCAGAACGGATTTAGGGAGAGTAGGTCAACAACTAGTCATATTCTTGGCCAAAGAAGGGTATTCGAGGGAGCCCAGGATAAAGATCTGACCGCGGTAATACTCTTCATTGATTTCAAGAAGGCATTCGACAGCGTGCACCGTGGACTCCTCATGAAGATCCTCCTGGCATATGGCATTCCCAAGAAGATTGTAGGCTTGATACAAAGAATGTATGCAGATACTTTTGCTCGTGTGATTACCGAGGATGGTCTGAGTGAAGCATTCTTTATTCTAGCAGGAGTGATGCAGGGAGACACCTTGGCGCCCTATCTATTCATAATCATAATTGACTACATTATGAGGGTGTCCACTGTCCCTAGAGGGTAGGGACTTTGGGTTTAATCTACACCCTAGAAGAAGCCGACGCTCTCCGGCTGTCAAGGTCACTGATGCGGACTTTGCTGACGACCTTGCTCTTATAACAGATAGTGTTGCAGAGGCACAAGATTTCCTCAGGAGTCTGGAACTGGCTGCCAAATCAGTTGAACTCCACCTCAACGAGGGGAAAACTAAGTACATGGGAATCAACATAAGAGATGACGATAGCCCGACTCTGGTTGCTGGGAGCGGGAAGACCATTGAGAAAGTCGATGACTTTGTATATTTGGGTAGTAGAATGAAGAGTTCGGAGAAGGACTTCGAAGTGAGGAAAGCTAAGGCATGGGGAGCGTGTCACCACTCGCCAGATGAAGCTTGTATGGAAGTCGGATAAGCGTAGAGATCTCAAGATACGACTGTTCCTGAATCCTGGCTACAGTTGAGTCCATCCTTATGTAATATGTATGGCTCTGAAACATGGACTGTCAGCCAGACCCTCGCAAAACGTATTGATGGATGTTATACGAGAATGCTGAGGATGGCACTAAACATAGACTGGAAAGAGCGGCAGACTAACGCCAAGGTAATGGACACCTCATCAGAGCATCTGATAAGATAGCAGAACGGAGGATGAGACTCGCAGGTCATCTAGCCAGACATGAAGAACTTCTGAGTCATCAACTTCTCTTCTGAGAACCCCTTCAAGGACATCGTCGAAGGGAAGACCACACCTCACATATATTGACATCCTTCGGAAGGATACGGGGCTTGACGACAGCAAGGAGATTAACAAACTCATGCTGGATAGACAGATTTGGAAAAAAACTATCTCTGTTCGGACGTTGAAGCCGCCGTAAGTCAAGTAAGTCAAGTGTGTATCGTGTACAAAATATTCAGTTAATGTTATTCTTAAAGTCTTCATAAAATTTGTTCATTTCCATTTATTTTCCATTTCCAACCAGTTACGAATCATTTGTTTTCCTTTTATAACAGCATCAAACAGTTATATTGGCAGATGGTGTAAATAATCACTAGAAACGATCCCATGGACCTTCTACACAGAAGGCGGAATCTCTAACCACTAGGCCAACCACTCAGGTTGCCAACCAGTGTGCCAGATATTGTACAATGGTTATGTGAGTTATTCACTTACCCAAGTCGGTAATTATTAAGTTAATTACTGATAACTAATTTATAGTTGTTCTAATTCCTTAGGCGACCTTTTTAGTAATTTGTTTATGAAAACTTAATGACTACGATTATGTTGTAACGAAGATGAACATATTATCCTGATCCTTAGAAAGAGCTTGTTTTCGTTACACTAAAGTAGTAATCAGAAGATTTTAACAATAATTACCAGGAGATGGAGGAAGGATGGAGACTAAAGAGGAGTCGAAGGAAAGAGGTGGCGGAGGAAAGGGCGAGAGTAAAAGAGCAGAATAACATAAACTACCGAGTTTCTAACAGCGAATTAGGAAATGAAGAGGACGATGATTCGTTCGAGGTTAAAGCTCTTTACTCTTTTAAGTCCACTGAGGATGGAGAACTTACTTTCAAAAAAGGTAAACTTTAAAAATGTTTGTCTGGTGTGGTTGATAAGTGTTGTCGCCTTACTTTAAGTAATATGATTGGGATCAGCAATCGTAAACAAAATCTACTAACCCCACTGAAAATACTTTTCTCACCCCCCCCCCCCCCCCCCGAAACTTGTAAAACTTGTACGCAGCTTGTTTTTCACCCTTTATAATCAAAATAACCCTCTTCTTCTCTTTTTTAGAAGCCACCATAACAGTGACTGAAGTGATAGATGATAACTGGTACTACGGGCAACTAGGCGCTGCACAGGGCATATTCCCCACTAGTTACGTGGAGAAGATAGAGGCTCCAGATCTCCTCCCACCTCCTGCTCTCCCTGCACAGGTACGGCTACCACCTTCATCAATCATCAATACTTTACATTCCCACTTATTTTATAGATATGGGTTATATAATGGTGAGTCAGCGCCCGTCAATAATTTCTTACTATGGATTATTATAAGTCGATCAGTAAATCATGCTACAAGAAGCTGATTGGTTAATCGCTGTTGCGTATTAGAGAAAACATGGCTTACTTCCCCGCCAAAATAAAGATCTATGGCTGTATTTTAATCGAGTATTGTGAAGATGTTAGATTATTGTGACTCTAAGTTGTTGTTCTGACATTAAACTGTACTACAGAGAATAGAAGATTGTCTGGAAGAGTTCGAGTCTCCAGAAGCAGTTGAGCAGTCACGTGATAGTTTTCTTGATGATAGTGGTAACCTTGACAACACTAATAATCTTGATAACCCCAATAATCTTGATAACAGATCTGCCGGAGATTCTGACAATTTCCAGGTTGGTAAAAAAGGCAGCTCAAAAAAACAGCACATTCTACTGAAATTAGTTCTGTAATCTGTATTTAGTACCATAATCTCATATTAGTAGAAGTTACTTCGAGTTTAGCTTTCTCGAAGAATCCCGTTTAATCGGCTACATACATATCTACTCATATAGTCATATGTAGGGACACACACACTAAAATTAATGGAAATAATTACCGGACTTTTATATTATTCACGGACCTTAATGCCACAGACATTACTTTCACGGACATAATTATTCACGCTAAGGTCTTCAGCGTGAAAGTAATGTCCGCGATAATTATGTCCGATAAGGTATATGAATTTAACATAAGAACATAATACTTAATTTATTGATGTTTAGAATAAAAGCTCCTGCTTAAGTTTTACAACTGTTTCAAGTTGGTCAAAAATTTCCAGGATTACGAATTATACGTAGCCCAGTACAGTTACCAGCCCCTTAATGACGACGAGTTGGAACTGCAGCGAGGTGACATTGTGAAGGTAACTTTTTTATCTTTATTTAAATTTCATTATTCCATCGACTTTATTGTTCGTTTTGTTAACAGAGAGCAAGAATGTCGTTTTTACAGTTATCTCTTTTAAAATAACAGAGTAACGTAATATCTTTACCTGCGCGGCTCAGTACTGCTCCTTCATAAACTCTCCCATCAGGTTATAGAGAGATGTGATGACGGTTGGTTTGTTGGAACCTCACAACGAACAGAAAAGTTCGGTTTTTTTCCCGGTAACTACTTTCTACCCAGCGTGGAGTGACCACGTGACGTCATCACAACACCACGTGACGTCATCACAACACCACGTGACGTCATCACAACACCACGTGACGTCATCACAACACCACGTGACGTCATCACAACAACACGTGATGTCATAGTAGCACTTCTTGAAAGACTGGGGCTATATACTTATTCGTCATGAACTGTTGTTGATCAAGTTCTAGTAGTTAGCTTCGTAACGTACGCTGATGTATAGATAACATCCATTTTAATTTATAGTGGATTTCTTGTACAATTTCTTGTACAATAGTACAATTTCTTGAACAATTTCTTGTACAATTTCTTGTACAATTTCTTGTACAATTTCTTGTACAATTTCTTGTACAATTTCTTGTACAATTTCTTGTACAATTTCTTGTACAATTTCTTGTACAATTTCTTGTACAATTTCTTGTACAATTTCTTGTATTTATATTTTATAACCCACATTTTCTCGTTCCAGAATTGATTTATACAAAATTGCAATGAAATGGTTAATTATATAAACTATTTGACGCAATTATTCCTGCGATGTGATTATCATACTGATTTTATGAATTAGGTTACTATGGTTACCATTATAACATTTATTGAAGTCATACCAAACTTTTTTTTACTGTGAGGGGCATCACGATTCGCCACTTAATCTTAAAAATAGGTGATTCTATAATTCATTAATCTATTAATGAATTTTGAATGACAATAGTATGTGTCTATAGTTATTCATCTAGATAAGTTATAGAAATTACGTACGATGAAGATAAAAATACTTTTTTATACGTTGGATTTCAATTTTCGAAAATGCCGAAATGTCGTTTGTGTCAACCACATTTCGTAACCACGATTCTGCCTCAAGACATGTTATGCTTATTGAAACTGTAATAAAACTTACTGTAATAAAACTTACTGATTTTGCATGCGATGGATTCATATTAATTTCCGAGTACGTCAACAATAACAACATCTTTTTCCATTATAAAAACCAGTCTGTATCTTTAAATGTATCCTTTGTTTTATTTAATAAGGCTTACAGTACCGCAAAAATCATTACAACCCTGTAGTTGTAAATATACGTGTTTAACCTGTTTTGAAGAAATCTTATTTTTATGACAATTTAGGATTTTAAATCCTCGTTTTACTTATAACTAGAAAGCCCGTGTAGTGGTAACTATAATAACTGTTGTAACTAGTGGTAACTAGTGGTAACAGGGAGGAAGCTAGCAGTGTTTTTTTAATAAAGTTTTAATCGCATCAAAAAACATCCGTCACAACTCAAGATACAGCCGATTTATATGTAAAACACTTTAAACACAACGTAATTACCACAAAACCGATAAAAATGACGTTAAAACGTGCACGTGCGCATTTGACACCGTTACCATGGTTACTATGCAACCGTTTTGTTTTTTATCTAATTTGCACATGGGCGGTCGTACATACATAAATAATCTTTCATTTTACATGATAGAGACTAGAAAGCCCGTAGTACAGGATAAAGCTATAAGTAGTATCCTTTGGTAGTCACTTTTTATCGCATCAAAAAATATCCGTCACAACCGAAGATACAGCCGAGGAAATGTAGCTTGCATTGAACACAACGTTATTACTAAAAAGTCGATCAAAATGTCGCTCGCAAATCTTTGCACGTGCACGTGCACGTGTGTGTTCAACACCGTTACCATGGTTACTTTACAACTTTCTATTTATCATCCTATTTGTACGTGGGCGCCGGGCGGTCGTACATACAGACAGACATACAGAAATAGTCTTTCGAATTATAGGTAGAGTTTTTTTTGTTTTTTGTTCAGGGAGCAGGCTTGCCACATAAGTCCGGGAGTACCGGACGTTTAGGCAGGGTGCTAGGTTATGGAACACACTCAACTAGGTAGTAAGAGAGTCCGAAAATCTCCAAAAGGAGATGTCATCAGAGTGTGATCCATTGCCTGACTGACCTGTGGGTAGAGTTCACTAGACTCTATAACTATGACAGGTAGTATCTTCTGTGTGTTGCTGAGATCCAGTGTCCATTGTACCTATCAGATAATAATAACAAAATGGGAGGCTCTATTTGTCTAACTTGCACGTGGGCGCCGGGCGGTCGTGCATACAGACAGACATACAGAAATAGTCTTTCGAATTATAGGTAGAGTAGTAACTAAGTATAAGTATTATAGATTTCGACAACATAGCTGCCTTTGTCCTTATCAAACGGTCCTTTTGTCTTTACGAACTTAAGGTTTGATTGACGAATTATTCTCAATCCTAATTTTATATTACTTATCGCTATTCATTGAAACAACGTATTGGAAATGATGTAAATATTTTCAAATCTTTAAATCAGTACGATTTGTTTCAGGCTGAACAGCTCCATATTTAAAAAATTATTACCACATCAGCTGCATTGCAAATTGCAAGTTCAACTAATTTTGAACCGGTCATATGTATATTCTTATATTATGAAGAGTGGTAAATTAGAATTTTATAAGGCATCAGCCATTCTCGCATGTGATTCGTGATTATACTAGATAAGCTGGAACATTCTAGTTGGTCGAGGATAATATGATAATATAACTCATTATCTTGAAATTGCATGTATTTATGAAATTAAGAATAATCTTTTAAACTGTTCCTGTAGAAAAAAAGATAGGAATAATAAACGGTAGAACCAGTGGCAGATGCTGCACATGAGAACTGTCATCTTAAACTGCTTTTACATATTTATCTTTTGGACTGCTGACATGACTTAGTCCAAAATCCGTATCACGTCCACTAGTTATATTTAATTACGGTTATAAAACTGTTCTGATAACGTCCTGCGGCATATAACTTATGTAATCTAAAACTGGTACTTTTATTTAACTTCACTTTTCGCAATGAGTAAAATTGACTTACTCTTCAAAGTATTGATTTTAAAACAATTTGAGCTAATCTGTGCTGAAGTAACCACTTTCATTAACGTCGTGACCTTTCAGCAAATAAAATGAGCGATAAGAAATATTTTAAGACTTTAAGACATTCCGCAGAAACGCTTTGATTTAAGTTTCCACTGAAATTCGACATTTTGTTTTAGTTTTCTCCTTCGTGTTGTATATACGGATACCTAAACCGGATACGATAAGTACGTATATAATTATAATCAGATCAGTAGACCGAAACTTTATAAAGAGTTAAGTACTTTAATTTGTGTAATAATAAGGTAATAATAAGGTACCCTTCCTTAAAGTCTTTAATTGGTATGTTTCAATATGGGCCAGTGGCTTGAAAGCTCTCCCTGAGGAACAGGCTCGTGCGCTCCTCCAGGAGGTGGAAACAAAAGCAACCCTCCGTGCTATCGAGAACAAGTCAAGGCAGATTAACATCTTGAAGAAACAGATTGCTGATATTCAGAGAGATCATCCTGACTCTCCTGAACTTATCAAAGATAGCAAGTTGCTTCACATCCAACAGAAGAAGCTTTTAAAGAAGATGAAATTTTTAGAGGAGTGTGATGGCACTAAATTTTCAGAATGGAAGCCTAAGAAGAAGGTAGTAGCAGTTTCAGTGAATCAGCTTGCAAGGAAGGTCACAGCTAAGAAGCTCAAGAGAAAGCTCAAAGCAAAAGCCAGGAAGAACAGGAAGAAAGAGCAGGCAATGAGGAAGAAAGCCAAGGAAGCTCTTGAGAGAAATCTTGTTGTTAACCTGACAGACATTGATATTCCGGATTATAGCATTGCGGTCCTTTCGTATGGTCCTGGATGGATACCCTGCCCGGATTTTGATGAGATGCAGTTCAAAGTAGATGGGTACAATGCTGCCAACAAACAAGCATGGAAAGCTGTTTTTAAGAACTCAGCACGGGATAACGAAGTTCCTATGGAGCTACTGAAGAAACCAGTAACAGCTCCTTGTACTTCTTTTGAAGACCCGGCCATCAAGTCTGCAAAAGACAACATTGTCAATTTTGTAGACAACTTCAAGCCCAGAAAACTTGAATCTAATATGAACCGCTATGAGAGTGAAGGGTATATGTGGTTGAAGAAGGCTGTCAAGGATGGCTTAATAGCCATAACATCGGCTGATAAGGGCGGTGCGATAATCATTGTCACCCCTCAGATAATCAAGGATATCACTTCTGCCAAAGTTGAGGACCCTTTGAGATACAGACCTTTGCAAACTGATCCTACTGGATCTTTGAGAGGGAGTATGTTAGAGCTGTGGTCATCTGGTTTGGAGCGGAAGTATGTAAGTGGTGAACAGTCTAAGTGTGTGGTTGGTTTGATTCAGAAGTCTGATCGGGACACTCTTTCACAGAGCACTTCAGATCTAGTCAAGCCCGATATTCCGTATGGTTACCCATTACTGAAAATTCACAAGCTGACTGAGACTGAAATTAGAGAGAAAAAGATTCCACCCAGTCGATTCGTGACTGATCTCTCTAGAGGAGTAACTGCAAGATCAGATAAGTTTGTTGTTTGGAAGTGGTTGGGACCTCTTGCCAGGGATTACTGTATAGATCTTGTTAAAGATTCAACTGCAGCTCTCATAAAACTCGAGGAATTGGCAGCTTCCGGACAAGTAGTCGATACTTGGATCAGCTTCAGTATTGATATTGTTTCTCTATACGATTCTCTGCAACATAGCTTGGTGATGTCAGCCTTAGATGATGCTATGGAGTCGTGTAGACCAGATTGGTCTGAGGAGTTCAGGACTTGGCTGAAGGGACTGATACAGCTTAGTTTTGATTCGGCAGTCTTGAAGAATGCAGACAACTGGTATGAGGTCGTTAACGGTGTACCCACTGGAGGTATCAATTCAGTGGATTGCGGTAACATTGCTTTGTTCTTTGTCCTAAAGAGTCTGGTTTACGACCCGGTTGTTAGACCAGAGGAGCTCAAGAACCTTGATCGGTTTGTGGATGATATTTCGGGCCAAGGTATGTGGAGAGGTTCTATGATTGGTTTTGAAGAATGGGTAGGGTCATTACGCAGTAAGATGGTTGATAACTATGGCTTAGATATTACATACGATCAAGTGAAACCAATCACGGAGTTCACTCAGTTCCTGGACATTCAGTACAAGTTTGTTGGAGGGAGACTCACAACAGATCTGTTTAGGAAACCTACTGACGCCAACAGGTATCTAGAATTCTCAAGTTTCCATCCACGACATACCTTCCGGAGTATAGTCTTCTCACAGGCACTTCGATACAGAAGGATAATCAATGATGACGTCTTGCTGGATGAGAGATTGGCAGAGCTTCAGTTGTTTTTTGAACGGTCTTCATATCCTACTGATATGGTGAGAGAGGTCATCAGTGATGTCAGATCGATACCAAGAACTTTACAGTACAAGGCAAAGGATCAGGGTCCCCCTTCTTTCACACCATGGATTGTTACATTCGGTGCGGGCTATGAGGAAACCAAGGAAAAGGCTAAAGAGGCCAGTAACATCATCTCAAATAGCCGTACATGGAGCAGTGAGAACCCTGAGAGGATCCCTAAACTCCAAGTGGTGACCAGGCGAGCCCCTAACTTAAAGGACACTTTATTCAAGAGAAAGAAGCTTGCCTTAGGTTCAGAGTCAAGAACAACTGACCCATGCACCAAACCTGGTGAGAAGAAGAAAGGCAGACCCTGCCAAACTTGTCACCTTGTTAGTGGCAATTCCATGGTCTCCAATAATGGACACTCAGTCAGAACTCAAGGTGGTAACTGTAAGGACACGCAACATTGTGTACGGCGCGACATGCAAACTTTGTACTGTTAATAACGTATACGTGGGAAAAACAGTCACCAGCCTCAGCCAACGTGTGAATGGTCATCGCAGTAAATATTATGAGATTTTAGAGGCGAGTAGTAAGGGGAATGTTGAGAGTCACAGAGATTTTGATGACGAGAATGTTTTAGGGGCACATCTTTTTTCAGTTCATAATTTGAGGGAGAGATCTGTTTTCAATGAAAGTTTCCATTTTGATATTTTGTGTTCTACATCCCCAGATAATATTAGAAAGTCAGAACAGTTTTATATTAACAAATTGAAGACACTTTATCCGTTTGGCCTGAACAATGTGAATTCCGTTTCTGGAAGCTAATTTTTCATGGTGTCCCGAATTTTATTTTTAAATCGTCCATTTTTTGTTTATATATGCAGTCTATCAATTTTTGAATTGCGTCTTTTTGATTTAATGAACTACTGCAGACTCCACATTATTATAGTATATGCGATTAATTTTGTTCCGATTTTAAACTATTCCATTTTTACGAGATGCTAAATTAATTTTTTGAGACTTTACTACATTTTTGATGAGAATTTTTGACATTTTCAAACTAACCATTGATATTCTCAGATTATGTGACTGATTAAATGCTGAAGATAAAAGAAATATATTCATTTTGCTAAGATTATGTTTGCGTTTCATTGCTCAACAGCTGTTCGAAGGATCAAATATAAGATTATGTTTCAATATGACAGATATTATTATTAATGAATGAGTCAAAGTTTGCAAAGTCGTCACTATAAAGGGTGGCCTGACAACCGCTGTATCACTCGTTTGATAGTTATTCGTCTTTCTCATAACGCAAACATTTTAAATTACTCATATATCGAACCTGCAGGGAATGTCAAATCCCTTAACCGGAACAGCACTAGTTCTTTTGCTTTCCCTTTTGGTAATTCATGCAACAACTAAGCCTGATTCTATAGGTAAGTCTTAATGTGAAGTAGTCCCAACTCCCACTTTTATTTGTCGGCCTGATTATTTTAAATTCAACCTCAAGATTGTGACTGCTGCAATTTTTACCAATCCTGAAAATGAGTATACAGAAGAGGAAATGAAATTAGATATTTTTCAGATTCCTATCAGGAGACTGAGTTTGAGGCACTACTTGATTCTTCTGGACACAAAGTAAAAAAGAGAGCTCTACCAGTTCTTCTTGCCGGTGCTGTAGCAGTCGCCCCCTTATTTAGCGCCATCTTTTCAGGAGGATCGTTTATTTATGGAGTATCTAGTGGTAAAGAAAGAATAGCAGAACTGAGGGTGATCAACAAGAAACTGGTTAAGCTGCAACAGTCTGTGGATGAGTTGAATGATCGGGTGAAGTCGTTAGAGGTTGGTCAACAGTGGATAGAAGGAGCAATCCTCTATGGCAATGATGTGAAAAGACTTAGATTCCTTCTACACAAAATGCAAACGGAAGTTATGTACTGTGAATCGACTGAAAATCTAGTTCTGAAAAAAACAGCTGGTGCTAAAGAATGGGCTGATTCTGTGCTTGATAGCGGACCAGATGGTCTTGAACAGATACTTTTCTACATACACGATCTCGTGATGGGAACTGGACAACTTTTTGGAAGAAGATCTTTGATCGCCATTTATATAGACACTTTAACAATCCCTAGTGAGTTAAATCCGGGAGATTTTACCACAGAAATAGAGGATTTGTTCTATTCATAATGGCTTTGGAGACAGGAGGGTACGCAGCAATCTCTACCGCAATGAATATCGAAAATAAAACTAATGATGCAGCTTCTAATTTCATTGAAAATAAAGCAACACCACGGATGAAAGCTCAATGGGCTAAGATATTGAAGTAGTTGGGCACACCTTCAGCATGGAGAGAAATTTCACCTATGACTCCACCTTTCCACATTGCTGCTGATGATATCGCAGATACAGGGAGCAAGGTTCGTTGAGTCTCGATGGTGATGGTAGGATGGATTTGGTCTACCACCGTTGGAGGATAGCAGAAAATTTACCTCAAAAAGGAGCCTACATTAACAAAGGGAATAGTTTGGGCACGGGCACCTCATTATATTCCACCTTTCCACATTGCTGCTGATGATATTGGAGACACAGGGCAAGGTTTGTTGATCTTAACGGTGATGGAAAGGTTGACTTGGCAATATCACAGATGGAGAATGCATGGAAATTCACCACAAAAAGGAGCTTATCTGAACAATGGAAATGGTTGGGACGTGGGCACCACAGTATATTCCACCTTTCCACATTGCTGCAGGATGATATTGGAGACACAGGGGCCAGGTTTATTGTCTTAACAGAGATGAAGGGTTGACTTGGCATATCACAGATGGAGAATGCATGGAAATTCTCCACAAAAAGGAGCTTATCTGAACAATGGAAATGGTTGGACGTGGGCACCACAGTATATTCCACCTTTCCACATTGCTGCAGATGATATTGGAGACACAGGAAGCCAGGTTTGTTGATCTCAACGGAGATGGAAGGGTTGACTTGGCATATCACAGATGGAGAATGCCGGGAGTTCGCCACAAAAAGGAGCTTATCTGAACAATGGAAATGGTGGACATGGGCTTCAAGGTATGTTCCGCCTTTTCACATTGCTGTGATGACATCGGAGGTCTGTCTAGGTTTGTTGACCTTTATCGGTGATGGAAGGTTGACTTGCTACCACTAGTAGGGAATACGGAAATTCGCCACAAAGGAGTCTACGAACATGGAAAGGCTGGACTGGGACAGAATTCCTCCCTTTCACATTGCTGCTGATGAATTGGAGACCAGGCCAGGTTTGTTGATCTCAAACGGAGATGGAAGGATGACTTAGGCCATAACGATGGATGACGGAACCACAGCAAACTTTGTACTGTTAATAACGTATACGTGGGAAAAACAGTCACCAGCCTCAGCCAACGTGTGAATGGTCATCGCAGTAAATATTATGAGATTTTAGAGGCGAGTAGTAAGGGGAATGTTGAGAGTCACAGAGATTTTGATGACGAGAATGTTTTAGGGGCACATCTTTTTTCAGTTCATAATTTGAGGGAGAGATCTGTTTTCAATGAAAGTTTCCATTTTGATATTTTGTGTTCTACATCCCCAGATAATATTAGAAAGTCAGAACAGTTTTATATTAACAAATTGAAGACACTTTATCCGTTTGGCCTGAACAATGTGAATTCCGTTTCTGGAAGCTAATTTTTCATGGTGTCCCGAATTTTATTTTTAAATCGTCCATTTTTTGTTTATATATGCAGTCTATCAATTTTTGAATTGCGTCTTTTTGATTTAATGAACTACTGCAGACTCCACATTATTATAGTATATGCGATTAATTTTGTTCCGATTTTAAACTATTCCATTTTTACGAGATGCTAAATTAATTTTTTGAGACTTTACTACATTTTTGATGAGAATTTTTGACATTTTCAAACTAACCATTGATATTCTCAGATTATGTGACTGATTAAATGCTGAAGATAAAAGAAATATATTCATTTTGCTAAGATTATGTTTGCGTTTCATTGCTCAACAGCTGTTCGAAGGATCAAATATAAGATTATGTTTCAATATGACAGATATTATTATTAATGAATGAGTCAAAGTTTGCAAAGTCGTCACTATAAAGGGTGGCCTGACAACCGCTGTATCACTCGTTTGATAGTTATTCGTCTTTCTCATAACGCAAACATTTTAAATTACTCATATATCGAACCTGCAGGGAATGTCAAATCCCTTAACCGGAACAGCACTAGTTCTTTTGCTTTCCCTTTTGGTAATTCATGCAACAACTAAGCCTGATTCTATAGGTAAGTCTTAATGTGAAGTAGTCCCAACTCCCACTTTTATTTGTCGGCCTGATTATTTTAAATTCAACCTCAAGATTGTGACTGCTGCAATTTTTACCAATCCTGAAAATGAGTATACAGAAGAGGAAATGAAATTAGATATTTTTCAGATTCCTATCAGGAGACTGAGTTTGAGGCACTACTTGATTCTTCTGGACACAAAGTAAAAAAGAGAGCTCTACCAGTTCTTCTTGCCGGTGCTGTAGCAGTCGCCCCCTTATTTAGCGCCATCTTTTCAGGAGGATCGTTTATTTATGGAGTATCTAGTGGTAAAGAAAGAATAGCAGAACTGAGGGTGATCAACAAGAAACTGGTTAAGCTGCAACAGTCTGTGGATGAGTTGAATGATCGGGTGAAGTCGTTAGAGGTTGGTCAACAGTGGATAGAAGGAGCAATCCTCTATGGCAATGATGTGAAAAGACTTAGATTCCTTCTACACAAAATGCAAACGGAAGTTATGTACTGTGAATCGACTGAAAATCTAGTCCTGAAAACAACAGCTGATGCTAAAGAATGGGCTGATTCTGTGCTTGATAGCGGACCAGATGGTCTTGAACAGATACTTTTCAACATACACGATCTCGTGATGGGAACTGGACAACTTTTTGGAAGAAGATCGTTGATCGCCATTTATATAGACACTTTAACAATCCCTAGTGAGTTAAATCCGGGAGATTTTACCACAGAAATAGAGGATTTTGTTCTATTCATAATGGCTTTGGAGACAGGAGGGTACGCAGCAATCTCTACCGCAATGAATATCGAAAATAAAACTAATGATGCAGCTTCTAATTTCATTGAAAATAAAGCAACACCACGGATGAAAGCTCAATGGGCTAAGATATTTGAAGTAGTTGGCACACCTTCAGCATGGAGAGAAATTTCACCTATGACTCCACCTTTCCACATTGCTGCTGATGATATCGCAGATACAGGAGCAAGGTTCGTTGATCTCGATGGTGATGGTAGGATGGATTTGGTCTACCACCGTTAGAGGATAGCAGAAAATTTACCTCAAAAAGGAGCCTACATTAACAAAGGGAATAGTTGGGCACGGGCACCTCATTATATTCCACCTTTCCACATTGCTGCTGATGATATTGGAGACACAGGGGCAAGGTTTGTTGATCTTAACGGTGATGGAAAGGTTGACTTGGCATATCACAGATGGAGAATGCATGGAAATTCACCACAAAAAGGAGCTTATCTGAACAATGGAAATGGTTGGACGTGGGCACCACAGTATATTCCACCTTTCCACATTGCTGCAGATGATATTGGAGACACAGGGGCCAGGTTTATTGATCTTAACAGAGATGGAAGGGTTGACTTGGCATATCACAGATGGAGAATGCATGGAAATTCACCACAAAAAGGAGCTTATCTGAACAATGGAAATGGTTGGACGTGGGCACCACAGTATATTCCACCTTTCCACATTGCTGCAGATGATATTGGAGACACAGGAGCCAGGTTTGTTGATCTCAACGGAGATGGAAGGGTTGACTTGGCATATCACAGATGGAGAATGCACGGGAGTTCGCCACAAAAAGGAGCTTATCTGAACAATGGAAATGGTTGGACATGGGCTTCAAGGTATGTTCCGCCTTTTCACATTGCTGCTGATGACATCGGAGATGCTGGATCTAGGTTTGTTGACCTTAACGGTGATGGAAGGGTTGACTTGGCCTACCACAGATGGAGAATGAACGGAAATTCGCCACAAAAAGGAGCTTATCTGAACAATGGAAATGGCTGGACATGGGCACCACAGTATATTCCACCTTTCCACATTGCTGCTGATGATATTGGAGACACAGGGGCCAGGTTTGTTGATCTCAACGGAGATGGAAGGATTGATTTGGCCTATAACCGATGGAGAATGAACGGAAATCCACCACAAAAAGGTGCTTTCCTGAACAATGGAAAGGATTGGTCATGGGCACCACAGTATATTCCACCCGTGTCCATTGCTGCTGATGACATCGGAGATGCTGGATCTAGGTTTGTTGACCTCAACGGTGATGGAAAGATGGACTTGGTATACTATCGATGGATGAAAAGCCAAGAAGAACAAAAAGGAGCGTATCTGGTACTTGGTTTTATGGGAGACCATACAAAGCCACACTTTGATGCTGCTGATTTTGATATGGACAAATGCTAGTATTAAGATATTGACAGTTGCGGCGACGTTGATGACATGTATTTTCACATGGTATATTGAACAGTTTAAAAAAATCGCTAATAATAAGAATTGAATAAATTATATCAAAGAAAAACATTAATCTTGTAAAGAGAATGTTAAATGAATATTTTAATTTTGTTCAGATCAGTTTAAGTAAAGTTTAGAAAAATTAGATTATAACTTTTTTGTTTGTCAAAAGCTTTCATCATTTAATTGGTCATTATGAAAAATTCTGTCAAGCGCGCTGAGATTTGGGTCGATGAAAGCTGCAATATCTGAAAATGTCCTACCGGTAGGACATTTTCATGATTTTCTTTTCACCAAAGCTTTCTCCGGATATTAAGCTTCCATGATAGTACCTCGATCACTCACATTGACCTCACTGATAACCTCACTACACCAACATCATAGTTGATGAGTGCGCATTTTTCTAAACATTCTTGCAGTTTTACGCACTGAAAATAAAATATTGGTCAAATTGTGCACTTATAGAAACTGATTCCTGCTCTGAAAACGCATCAAAGATAGAAAAACAGGGGTGGCAAAAAGTCCACAAACGCGAACGTTGGGTCTTATAACATAGCCATGTTTCATAATTCATACCTGTACTTTTGCAGATGGTATACTGTAACTATTCATTCAAGGATTATTTCGTTAAAAGTTAATAACTCGATTTAAGAGACCACATCCAATCAACATTGAATTGCTTATACCCCTGTTTGAAAACATGCTAAATACTCGATTTTATCAATCACCTGATATGTATTACGTGTAATAAATGAATAAAATATTTATGCTTGATATCTCGGTCATCTGAGTACAAGTTAGAGCTCTTTCAGAACAAGTGTATTTTAAGAGGCCAAAATCAATTATCCATTAAAATTTGATTTGAGCCAATCATTCAAAATATCTAAAAACAGCGAAAATGAACGTTCATTCGGAGAACATGAAGATCGTTATTATTTGATTTGATGTATTCCTCGAATGAGTGATAATGGCAAATCATACAAGAAAGAATTATTTCAATCAGTCACTGAGAAATAAGCCCCAAAGGGGGGGGGGGGGGGGGGGGGGGGGGGATATCTATATATGCAACTTACTATATAGCTTCTTTTTACCAGGTTGTCAGATTCTACGAAAGGCGAGCAGTCTGTGCAATTTAGTTCAGCTGAGTGTTTCTAAGTCCTGACAAGTGACAGGTCAACTGAGCAGCGTTCACAACACCGCAAAATTCTTCTTGAACTTAAAAGAAGAAAGCATATGAAACAGATAAGCGACATTCTATCGTTGCTCATGGACGGTGCTCAGCCTGTCATTCCGCCGCATCTTCAATATTTCTATGAACATTAAGACTGGGGTTCACGTGTGGAAACCTGTTTAGTGCTGACAAGACTGAAAGTTGTGTCAGTGTAATTTGTGTCAAATGATTGGTTCCGTAACATTTTTGAAGGTTTCAACGCTGTTAGGCAGTTTTTGTTGAAGTGATTCGACTAATCATTTTACAACTGACAATCTTTGAGTTATCATTTTAATTTTGGAGTATAAACGCACGGGTTCAAAATCTTCGAATTCACTCGTAAGGGTCACCTTTATCTAACTTTTAAAGTTTCAAGTAATTATCGTACATTGCTGTATGTATAATACAATTCTTTTGATTAAACATATTTATTAATCAGTAAACAAAGCTAGTTTCCATCAATCAAGACATCAAGTTAAACTGTTAATTAAGATAAAATTTAATTTTTGAAACGACGTTCTGTTCTTACTCATCAGGTTATCATGTTTATAAACATAACGATTAGGCGGAATGACAGGCTGAGCGCGGGCCAGTAAGCCATAACCTACTTACCGTATCGGGCCTTATTTGACCGTTCATTCAATGTCTGGTAAGTAGGTTATATTGTATGCGGGATCATGACTAGACTTTATATGGCCGAGAGCTATACCATACTGCCTTCTATAGTACTATAAAAGAGTACTACAAAAGTCTTGAGACAGGAATCTCGTCATTTTGTCATTACGGCGTGGGCGCCTTTAAAGTACCCCCCCCCCCCCCCTTAAACAATAGAATATGATAAAGGGACCCTCTTGATAAGTCGAGCCTCATCTCTCTCACTTTGAATAATTTGAAGCTTTTCGATAATGGAAAAAGTTACTATGATTTCATATATTGGATGAGCACGCAACGTCCGCTCTACAGCATTTTTTCTGCTGTTGAGTAGCACAAGAAGAATTAACCTGATCCGTATCTAGCATCACGCGGTTGCAAGGAACTGTACATCTAATTTCTTATCAGCAACTGTTATTGATAAACCTGATCCAATCTGCAGCGTCATGTAACATATCATCTGTTATTTGCTTTGTTTGAGATGAGTTAAGAACGGAGAAAAGTACTAAAGATTATAGGCAGTTTTTTTTTGTACATTGACCAGATGCCGACACTGCACGCTTTTGCTATAATTCAGTTTTCGTAACATGATATTTAATATGATTTAAATGATATGAGAAGCATGTGTATAAGCATGTGATAAATACTGTCTATTAATTAGATTTTGAAATTGCAGAGCTTTCAGGTGACCAACTACCGTGTGACCTCATCACGGTTGAGGTCATGGTTAAGTTATTCTTAAAAGCGTTATTTTTCGTGTCCTGTCAAATAAGTTAATAGAATTTTTTGTTCTCCTGACGCTGCTTTGAGTGAATATTTACTAACATGGTTTACGGATCTTGCTTAATCGTTTTTTAAATATATGCTGAACAGATAACGATGCTTTTAGTTTTAAACTTTTAAACAAACATTTTTGGTGGGATCACATTTTTTGCTTTCATCCACTTCCAGGTAACAAAAATTTATTCAATGATTTGTTGTTCATATCAAAATCCATTTCAGGTTTTGTTAAATGATCTTTCTGGGGAGGACACTGCTAATATGCCTCCTTATGGTACTCCAGACGCTTACCACTGCAAACCCATGGCATCTACAACTACCAGTTCCATCAAATATCCAAGACAAGCAAATCTTCCGACAAGCCATGTCTTCAAACCTTACTTCAAACATTAACACCATTTTCGCGAGTTTTGAGGGTTTTGGCAACGCTACAAAATGTACTGCCAAACTGTCTCAACTCACATCTGGTCTGGCTTCATTCAACCCGGAGAGTATAGCGTTTATAGACGCTCTGGGTAAACCAGGTCCAGGTGTAACTACAGGGAACTTCCTGTTGCTGGGGAACTACGAGATGTGCGGGACAGGAGCACTGGAGAATAAGGCTACCGGGTACAAGTATGAGAATTGTGTTGTCTCCGCAGCTTTCACTTTAGGAGGCTACCCCCTTGCTCTTACCTGGACAGGCTGCAGTCCTCCCGAGTGTAAGAGTAATAATGATTTGCAGAACGTATTCAAACAGATCGCTGATTTGATAAATAAATCAGGAATAATCCACACTGATCCATCAACATGGACTATTATGTGTGATGTGAAACAAGAGTTCGATGTCGGGGCCTATGCAGCAGTTACAATAGTCTCCCTCTTCGTAATCTTAGTAGTGGTAGGCACACTGTGGCACCTCCTGGAACCAATAATTATTAGCATATTGGAACAAGGCAAGGACGATACGACAATTCTAATTGACGCAGAGGAAAACCCGCATGAAGATGTTGACAAGCAGGTTCCGTCCACCGAGGTAAGGGAGAAGTATAAGACCTCAAACCAGCCGGAGTGGTTGCCAGGGAGGCTAGCTAAGTGTTTCGCTCTGCAGAGGACAATGGAGACTCTCTTCACCACCACTACTAAACCGGGCCAGGTACTCTGTCTGAACGGAATCAGGGTTCTCAGCATCAACTGGGTGGTTCTTGGTCATGCGTACGCCTTCTCATTCTCATTCGTTGGTGGTTATTCGTACGTAACAGAGCTCATCAAGCGAAGGAATTTCATGTTGGTATACAATGGTCTTCCATCTGTCGATTCTTTCTTTGCCTTGAGTGGGTTCCTGGTGACATATCTCCTGTTAAAGCAGCTTGCCAAAAGAGGTGGTCTCACTCCTTTACAATGGATTGCATTCTATGTACACAGGTATGTGAGACTAACAATGCCGTATTTGGTAGCCATGCTGATCGAGGGATGGCTTTATAGACTCGTCATGACTGGACCACGTGCACAGCAAATGACTACAACTGATATGGGCAGTCATAAGATGTGTGAACAATACTGGTACACTAACCTCCTTTACATCAACAACTTCGTCCCCTGGAAGGCTACAGGGGCTTGTCTTGGACAGGGTTGGTATCTGGCTAACGATATGCAGTTCTTCCTGATAGCTCCTCTCTTTATAGTGCTCCTGTTCGGGACACCATTACTTGGAGTGCTAGCCACTGGTGGTACTATGATCTGTAGTGCTGTATCCGCTGCTGTCATCACAGCGCATTACCATTTAGGACCTGCTTCAACTGCAGATACTAACCAGGATGAAATGTGGCTGCTGTACACTAAACCCTGGATCAGGATAACACCGTATCTAGTGGGGATATTAGGGGGCTGGTTTTATTGGAAATGGGGAAAGCAGATCACAGAGGGAGTGAAGACCTTGCCAGAGTGGCTGAAAGTGATGTGTGCTACACCAATATGGGCAGTAACCGCTGCTGTAGAGTACGCTGTGGTGTTCGGGTTGTACGATGATGTCCAGAACCTGCAAAAAGGGAATCCTGGTGAAGTGGAAAGTGTGTTTTACCAGAGTTTAGCAAGGATTGCATGGTCTCTGTCACTAACCATACAGATTCTTCTCTGTCAGTGTGGTTTGGGAGGGTTCATAAACTCCCTCCTCAGCTGGAATGGTTGGCAGATCCTCTCTAGACTCACCTACTCCGTCTTCCTCCTCCATATAGGTCTGATAACAGTGCTATTTGGTCAGATGAGACACACTCTCTTTCTCAATCCCGACTTTGAGTTTGCCGTGTTTTATCTGGGAACTCTGGCTATGTCATATCTCTCTGCTGCTGTGTTGTACCTGACTGTGGAACAACCTGTCGCTAATCTAGAGGGTATCTCCTACAGGAAGAGCACTAAATAAAGCTTTAAGTTTGTGCAGGGGTACTGATCCCTGTGTACTGGGTCTTGAACAAGCGATCTTCCAATGAAAACTAAAAGCTCATTCAAGCACCCACTTCAACACAAAGCCCTGTCAGTGTCAGATTGTTGTTTAATGAACCCTTAGTGTGGAAGGAACTTGACCTTTAAAAGAAAGCGATTTTTATGTGTGTTATTTTGAAGAGTTAAATCTATGCCGTTCTTGACATTAATTGTTTGTGGAAGGATCAAGTTGTGAGATTTTAGATTTACTTATTGAATGACTGTTTGATCGTTTTTATACCTATTATTTTCTATTATTGCACAATGTTCGAGTATTGTCACTATTTTTTTGGATTTTAATTCCACATTATTCACTCTTCAGCTATCTAAGTTATCCCAATACCAACAAGTGTTACATTGTTGACATAATAATTTGCTACTGATCACGGAGTCATTGCATTTCTCTTCTAAAATCGTACGCGCGTATAGAATATTGATATTAAACTTAAAGTGTTGGTAAATTCAATCAAACTCCATTCTATTTAAATTTCGTCGAAAATCTGTTAATATAATTTATCAAAATTAACCATCTGCTGTTCAAAACAGCTTCAATTAATTAACTCTAGGGTAGGGACTAAGGGAGCTCAATTAAACGGACTTATTGAATTAACAAGTGGAGAACTCCTGTTAAATGTCAACTTGTCACTTTTCGATTGTATCCGAATGGTTTTGTGGTAATACCAACTGCTTCTCTCTGATTATTAATGACGTCATCACTACGTATCATAATGATACTAGCCAGCCTTGTGCTACACTCTCTACAAGCTAACATTATAGATACACGTAACGGTGAACCCAACCCTTCTGCGTGTGGTCCTACAGTATGTTCTGGCGTGGAGACTTATGATAATAACGTCTGGTTCGATGTTGAAGCAGGCAAGGTGGGTAAAGGTATCAGTATGAAGAGTTGTGGGTTTAAGAGGGATCCGGTGTTAACGGTGTCTACTAAGACAGGGGTGCTGGGTGAGAGTGGAGCGTGCCCGGGCGTGTTTGTTAAAGATAGCTACAGCACACACTTCTGGGTGTACTCAGTCGGGGACACTACAGCTGAGCAGGTGACAGGGGCTGAGTGTGACGTTCATTGGGTCGCTGTGGGCTATAATTGTTAGAGCTTTATAAAGGAAAATACAAGACATGGGGACAAAAAATGAAGAAAAATAGTTCAAGCAGTGAAAATCATTACTGTGATTATTTAATTTAATTTTTCGATACATAATGACTTTAGTGATTAGTAAATATGTATTTTTCCAATAACTACATACTTGTATTGTTTCAATGTGTTTCCAAATTCAACAAGAAGTGAGAAGACACACTTTTTTTCATACAGGGTGTCCCAACAAAAGGCCAACAAGTTATTTTTCTTAATAAGTCACCTCAGATTTAACTTAGCGACTTGAAACTTCTCAAGTCATGTGCTATGATGCTCCAGAATCTATGGCAAAATTATGCAAGCAACCTGTTCATTTGGCCCTACTATTTCTCTGTCAAATAGGCACTGATTGGATTTTTAAAAGAACTTATGGAGCTGCTGCCGAGAATTTTTCCGTTTAAATTCAATACATTGTATTCAAAATTTGAAACCGAATCGACTCCCAAAATTTCAAGGCTATAACTTATTGAGGAGCTGAGTGATGATGATGGGTCACGTGATCCGCCCTGTTATTAAAGGCTGCAGGATTTAGTCAGCTCGTGGGATCAGTTGATTAACTCATTAACTGATCGTGTAGCTGTACTCAGCTGCATGCTGCCGATAAACTACCCAATCATGATACACGCAATAAATTCGTGCCAATATATCCGTGCCATTTTACTGACACCAAGGCATCAACTTTAACGCGACTTTCTGCAAAAACTGTAAAAGATATACAACTGAAACTTTTTTGACTGGGTCAAATGCTTTAATAGCCTTCAAATCAGCATGAAAAAATTAAAAATTGGCCAAGGAATAAGAATTTTAGTGCCCAAAATTTGGACTCCCAAGTGGTGTCAAAAACGCGAATTTAATAGGTAATAATTATTTTATTCTCTCGAGTCTTGACACCACTTTAGGGTAGACGGGTTCCTGCTAGTAAACATAAAGATTAGGCGGAATGACAGGCTGAGCGCGGGCCAGTAAGCCATAACCTACTTACCGTATCGGGCCTTATTTGACCGTTCATTCAATGTCTGGTAAGTAGGTTATAATTATATTGTATGCGGGATCATGACTAGACTTTATATGGCCGAGAGCTATACCATACTGCCTTCTATAGTACTATAAAAGAGTACTACAAAAGTCTTGAGACAGGAATCTCGTCATTTTGTCATTACGGCGTGGGCGCCTTTAAAGTACCCCCCCTTAAACAATAGAATATGATAAAGGGACCCTCTTGATAAGTCGAGCCTCATCTCTCTCACTTTGAATAATTTGAAGCTTTTCGATAATGGAAAAAGTTACTATGATTTCATATATTGGATGAGCACGCAACGTCCGGGCTCTACAGCATTTTTTCTGCTGTTGAGTAGCACAAGAAGAATTAACCTGATCCGTATCTAGCATCACGCGGTTGCAAGGAACTGTACATCTAATTTCTTATCAGCAACTGTTATTGATAAACCTGATCCAATCTGCAGCGTCATGTAACATATCATCTGTTATTTGCTTTGTTTGAGATGAGTTAAGAACGGAGAAAAGTACTAAAGATTATAGGCAGTTTTTTTTTGTACATTGACCAGATGCCGACACTGCACGCTTTTGCTATAATTCAGTTTTCGTAACATGATATTTAATATGATTTAAATGATATGAGAAGCATGTGTATAAGCATGTGATAAATACTGTCTATTAATTAGATTTTGAAATTGCAGAGCTTTCAGGTGACCAACTACCGTGTGACCTCATCACGGTTGAGGTCATGGTTAAGTTATTCTTAAAAGCGTTATTTTTCGTGTCCTGTCAAATAAGTTAATAGAATTTTTTGTTCTCCTGACGCTGCTTTGAGTGAATATTTACTAACATGGTTTACGGATCTTGCTTAATCGTTTTTTAAATATATGCTGAACAGATAACGATGCTTTTAGTTTTAAACTTTTAAACAAACATTTTTGGTGGGATCACATTTTTTGCTTTCATCCACTTCCAGGTAACAAAAATTTATTCAATGATTTGTTGTTCATATCAAAATCCATTTCAGGTTTTGTTAAATGATCTTTCTGGGGAGGACACTGCTAATATGCCTCCTTATGGTACTCCAGACGCTTACCACTGCAAACCCATGGCATCTACAACTACCAGTTCCATCAAATATCCAAGACAAGCAAATCTTCCGACAAGCCATGTCTTCAAACCTTACTTCAAACATTAACACCATTTTCGCGAGTTTTGAGGGTTTTGGCAACGCTACAAAATGTACTGCCAAACTGTCTCAACTCACATCTGGTCTGGCTTCATTCAACCCGGAGAGTATAGCGTTTATAGACGCTCTGGGTAAACCAGGTCCAGGTGTAACTACAGGGAACTTCCTGTTGCTGGGGAACTACGAGATGTGCGGGACAGGAGCACTGGAGAATAAGGCTACCGGGTACAAGTATGAGAATTGTGTTGTCTCCGCAGCTTTCACTTTAGGAGGCTACCGACCCCTTGCTCTTACCTGGACAGGCTGCAGTCCTCCCGAGTGTAAGAGTAATAATGATTTGCAGAACGTATTCAAACATATCGCTGATTTGATAAATAAATCAGGAATAATCCACACTGATCCATCAACATGGACTATTATGTGTGATGTGAAACAAGAGTTCGATGTCGGGGCCTATGCAGCAGTTACAATAGTCTCCCTCTTCGTAATCTTAGTAGTGGTAGGCACACTGTGGCACCTCCTGGAACCAATAATTATTAGCATATTGGAACAAGGCAAGGACGATACGACAATTCTAATTGACGCAGAGGAAAACCCGCATGAAGATGTTGACAAGCAGGTTCCGTCCACCGAGGTAAGGGAGAAGTATAAGACCTCAAACCAGCCGGAGTGGTTGCCAGGGAGGCTAGCTAAGTGTTTCGCTCTGCAGAGGACAATGGAGACTCTCTTCACCACCACTACTAAACCGGGCCAGGTACTCTGTCTGAACGGAATCAGGGTTCTCAGTATCAACTGGGTGGTTCTTGGTCATGTGTACGCCTACTCATTCTCATCCGTTGGTGGTTATTCGTACTTAACAGAGCTCATCAAGCGAAGGAATTTCATGTTGGTATACAATGGTCTTCCATCTGTCGATTCTTTCTTTGCCTTGAGTGGGTTCCTGGTGACATACCTTCTGTTAAAGCAGCTTGCCAAAAGAGGTGGTCTCACTCCTTTACAATGGATTGCATTCTATGTACACAGGTATGTGAGACTAACGATGCCGTATTTGGTAGCCATGCTGATCGAGGGATGGCTTTATAGACTCGTAATGACTGGACCCCGTGCACAGCAAATAACTACAACTGATATGGGAAGTCATAAGATGTGTGAACAATACTGGTACACTAACCTCCTTTACATCAACAACTTCGTCCCCTGGAAGGCTACAGGGGCTTGTCTTAAACAGGGTTGGTATCTGGCTAACGATATGCAGTTCTTCCTGATAGCTCCTCTCTTTATAGTGCTCCTGTTCGGGACACCATTACTTGGAGTGCTAGCCACTGGTGGTACTATGATCTGTAGTGCTGTATCCGCTGCTGTCATCACAGCGCATTACCATTTAGGACCTGCTTCAACTGCAGACACTAACCAGAATGAAATGTGGCTGCTATACAATAAACCCTGGATAAGGATAACACCGTATTTAGTGGGGATATTAGGGGGCTGGTTTTATTGGAAATGGGGAAAGCAGATCACAGAGGGAGTGAAGACCTTGCCAGAGTGGCTGAAAGTGATGTGTGCTACACCAATATGGGCAGTAACCGCTGCTGTAGAGTACGCTGTGGTGTTCGGGTTGTACGATGATGTCCAGAACCTGCCCAAAGGGAATCCTGGTGAAGTGGAAAGTGTGTTTTACCAGAGTTTAGCAAGGATTGCATGGTCTCTGTCACTAACCATACAGATTCTTCTCTGTCAGTTTGGTTTGGGAGGGTTCATAAACTCCCTCCTCAGCTGGAATGGTTGGCAGATCCTCTCTAGACTCACCTACTCCGTCTTCCTCCTCCATATAGGTCTGATAACAGTGCTATTTGGTCAGATGAGACACACTCTCTTTCTCAATCCCGACTTTGAGTTTGCCGTGTTCTATCTGGGAACTCTGGCTATTTCATATCTCTCTGCTGC